TGGTGAGCTTTGTGTGAAGGACCCTGATTGCGTCTTGGGAGTGAACATGCTTGTTCCAGGCCTGAGAGACGATCTGAGGGAAATCTTCCGATTTAAGCCAAAAGGACTCAAATCGAAACCCCTTGTACTTTTTACAATCCATCTTCTTTAGGACCAGGGGGCAATGGTCAGAGACAGAAGAGGACGCAGGAGACAATTGTAAGTGGGGAAAAGCCAGCTCCCACTCCTTGGACATGAGCATCTTGTCGATTCTGGTGTGGGTTGCCTTTTCCTTTTCATTGCATCACGTGAAACTCCGCCCCAACAAAGGTAGTTCTCGCAGATCCAGATCAGCAATCACAGCTTTAAACCTACCAATCATCCTCAAGTTCAGTTTACTGTTGCTCTTATCTTCCGCCCGACAAATCATGTTGAAATCACCAACAATGAGCCACTCCTCCTTAGCAACCAATTTCAAGCTCCTGAGCTCTTGCAGAAATAAAATTTTGTCCACCTCCAGCTGCGGTCCATAGACATTGGATAGGTACCAACAGCGGTTGTCAGCTCTGCAGGTAACGGTGCCGGACAGGGAGAACTGAGCAGGTGCCAACCCATCAGCAGAAATCGTGAAATCCGAAGAGCAGGCAATGAGCATCCCACCCCTGGTGCCATTTGCCGGGTGGAAGATGAAGTTGTCTTGAAAGCGGGCACCCAGAGTTTCAGACACCAGTTTTTTGTCAAAAACAGCCAGCTTTGTTTCTTGAAGGCAAATGATATTACAGCCACAATCAGATACCAATTTAGCAACAGCCCCTCTCTTTGCCGGGTTGCAGAGGCCCCTAACGTTCCAGCTCACAATAGACAGCTCCATATGGAAACCAAATCAAACTCAGCATCACACCAGCAACATCCAATCTTTGCCTTCCAACAAGTTGTAACAGCCAACGGCCACACCAGCGCCCAGAACAGGGGAACAATAAATTTTTGAAACATTGGGAAACATAGGGGAAACTCAACACACATCAACATCAACCAGCTCAAGCCTGAACCACCATCGGCAAGGAGTCAGCAGAGCCCTTCTTCGGGCTGGCAGCGTCTACAAGGGAGGAGATCGACTTGATGAAGAAACCGGGCAGCGCCTGCTTCTAGAGGTTGCGGTAGCGCTGCAGGTCTTGGGCGCCAGGCGAGCCTTCAGGTGGGAGTAGCCCCCCTTCTTCATGAGCACCAGTTGTGCTTTCTCCATGGACGGAAGATTGCAGGAGGGCTTCGCCGCAAGCCTGCCACTGGATCTGGTGGGCAGCAGCTCCGCGCACACATGCCCTTTCTTCTTGGAGCGCGGTCCGACCTCCATTGGCGGAAGAGGGGAAGGGGAGGAAGAGGCCGCCGGGGTTGGAAGGATTGACGGCAAGGCGGTGGAGGCCATGTTGATGAGGAAGGATTGCAGAGCATCCGGTGGATTTGGGAGGGAGCTGGTCATCTCCACAGGTTCTGAAGCGTGGCTTAGTTCCTGTGAAGCGTTGCCTTCCACCAGATTGTGGCCCATCTCCACCGCCCCAGGTTCATGGCCCAGCTCCAAAAGGTGAAGGCCCGTCACCAGAGAGGCCAGAGGCGGCTCCACTGGGACGGAGCCCATCTCCACTCTAAGCCCACCACCGCCCAAGGACAGCCGCACCTCTTCAGCCAGCTGGGCCAGCTTGCTAGCCCCCTCGTTATCTTACACTGACTCAGCACCCCTACCGGCTATTGGGAGCGGAGAGAAGCAGATCAGATCTTGCACCATGGCCAGCTCAGCAGGTCCCATCAGCTTGTCGTCGTTCTCAGACCCATGAACCAGCGCAAGAAGTGGTCCACAGTCCATCAGGCTCTGAGTCTGCACCGTCTGGTCGGCCAGGGGCAGCAAATGCAGACTTACGAGAGAATGGGAGGCAGTCATACTGGGATCCTCGGACTGCAGCAACGCTCCATCCCCAAACTGTGTGGTCAAACCATACAAGGTAGTACACTTCTCTCCAGCACGCGTCACCACCAAAGCCTCCGCAGCAGCACACTGGGCACCCACATCTGAGCCACTCTCAGCCAGACGCGCCTGCACGCCATGCATCGGCTCATGGCCCGCCACAGCCTGGTCAAGCAGAGCAGCAGCAGCGACAGGGCCAAGCAGCGCAGCATCAGATGTCTCCTCTCTCTCCTCCATCCATCATGGCTGCCGGACGAAGATGCCATAGACCGCAAGATGTGCCGACTGCCACCGCCACCAGCAGGCGGTCGACGGTCACCAGAGGCGCGATCTCCAGTACGACCATTCCGGCCGCCCCCAAAGCTACTACTCCCACCGCCGCCAGCGCCGCCGTTGCCGTCTCTGTCCTCTGGGAAGCGCAGCCTAGAGTGGACCGGACCCCGAGAAGGAGGCGGCGGAGGAAAAGTTCCGTCATCGTACTCCAGGTTCCAGCGGTATCCCCAGGTTGCCGGCCCTCCGCTGGAGGAAGATCCATCAGAAGGGATACCGCTAGCATTGCTGTGGGAGTTGTTGTTGCTATCAGGGCTGCGGCCAGGCTGAGCAGAATAGTCAAGAACCCTGTCGAGGTGAAGCCGGACCGGATGGGCCAGCATCTGCAGAGGCCCTTGCCTGACCGCCGGCTCAGCTAGGATGCCCAGCTCCGGGAAGTGCATGAGCGGCGACTCTACCTCGATTGGCTCCTCAAGCCAAAGGATGCCGCGGCGCGCCAGGTGGTTGACATTAGCCATCCACACCCAAAGCCGCAGGCAAGCAGTTTCCTCCTCGCAATTGGTGGAGTGGTCGATGGAGTCGATGAGACCCGTGCCGGCGAACAGGGGGTCGCCGAAGCAACATCCCATGCATGGTCCGGCACACCCTCGATGCAGACGCGCACCTTGAACGGTAGAGTAGCAGCCACCGCACGCCTGAAGCGCGTCCAAGGAGCCAGCAGGAAGGAGACGCGCCCCAACACTAGGGGGCCCTGGGCCCCCAGGGCCAGGTTCCTCGTGGCTGGGTCGGAGAAGGTGAACAGGAACTCCCCCGTCGCACGGAGGGTGACCTTGACGGCGTCGTCCGCGATGCGGAAGTACGAGGCCACCGCCCTTTGCACCTCCATCAGCCGAAGATCCGGCCTGAAACCCACGATGACAGCGACGACCGCATGCCGCATGAGTCTATGCTCCGCATCCGCCATGGCCGCCGAGAGCGGCGCCACAGCGAAGACCTCCGTCCTCCTCTCCCCTCCCGGCGCCTCCATGGTTCTCCTGGGTAGGGGAATGCGGTCTTGAGTTGGGCGGGAAGCACCACCAGCAGTGGGAACGAGGGGAGCTCTGCCAGAGGCAGGGGCGACTGGAGGCGAAGGAGCAGCCGGGGAATGCGACTTCCTGACCGGGCACCCCCAAGCTTTATGACCAATCTCGCCGCAGAGAAGGCAGCAAGCAGCGTTCCGGCAAGAGGCAATGCGATGGTAAGGAGAAAGACATCGAAAACACTTCCCCTTGGCCTTCTTAAGAAGCAACAGCTTGAGCTCTGAAGGCGGGGGATGATGGTTGTGACGCATTGAAGAGCGAGGCCGCTGCCTGCTGCAGACCTGGGTCCAACCACCGCCATCAATGGCGTCGCCAGGCGCGTCCTCACGCCCCCCCACGCAGGCAGAGGCCTCCATCCCGCTAGGGCATGGCACGGAGATCATCGACCTGAGCCTAGGCCGAAGGGCAGTAGGCCCCCCCGTCGCAGGCGCCATTAATGCGTCCCGAAAGGAAGCGGACCTCACCACCGGTGGGCAAGCCCCCTCAACGACACGCACGGGGACAAAGCCAGCAGGGAGGGGAGGAGAAGGGGGGAGGGAGGACGTAGAGGTAGCGTCCGCCATGGCAAAGGGCGGCGAGGGCGCACGCCGCCGAGATGGCGGCAGCACGAGCAGGAAGCAATTTGGTCTAGCTTCTCTTCATTGCTTTGTGAACGGCTGTGTTCAAAGTAGAATAATACATGTTCACAAAACTGAAAGAAGACCACTCTAGTTTTGGTGTGTACATATAACAACTAAAACTATATTTGGTTTCAATCAAAATGTATTCCTCGCGGCTCTTTTAATGAGCTGAGGGAGGGATGTGGCTAGTTAGTACTAAGGGGTTTTCTACAAATTGGTGTAGTGAAGTGAGGTCTTGTTGCAAAAATGCCAAAACTTTATTCACAATCGTTAGATGCAGATCTGATAGTCAGAAAAGATGAAGGGCAGGCACATCATAATCACCAACTGAGTCTTTTATACTCCCTCAGTTCCTAAATATAAGTATTTCTAGAAATTCCAATATGGACTACATACGGAGCAAAATGAGTGAATCTATGCTCTAAAATATGTTCATATACATTCGTATGTAGACTGTATTGGGATCTCTACGAAGACTTGTATTTAGGAACAGAGGGAGTAGAAGTAGAGAAGTGTTTTAGATTAGGCTATCAATACATTGTGTATGTAAATGTTGTCACCCTCTGCTCTAGGGTCCACTCCCGCCAGGATGTAAATTGTGAGCTTGTGGCACCCTCTAGAAACGAATGCTCAGTACGTACCTTCAAGATAAGTTGGCGTGCTTCGATCGATATTCAAGATGAATGTTAGCTGTGGCGACAAGTACTATTGTGATAAGGTGAGGAGGTACCTCTCATGCAAGCATAGTACCTCCTCCAAATATAGTTTGTCTCACCAATTTTGCTCCGCCGGCAGGCAGCAGCAGACCAACTCTCTCTTAGCTAATGGAGTGAGACAAATCTTTTGTCTCCACTTACCCATAAGGACACCATCAAGCTTAGATGTTTCAGCCGCTCACTTGTTTTGGAAGCACAGGCTTCAGTATTTCAGCCGCTCACTTGGATCACTACGCCAAGGAAGCAAGGAGAATTAACAATAAGAAGCAATAGAACTTGGAGGGGAACGCAACAAGGCCGATCCATTTCTTGAGCTGGTGCTTAGTGCAGGGTATCTGTATCTCTTACTGGTTAGCCTGCTACCCACAAATCACAATCCATGGCTGAGATGGTAAAGTCGGTCATTGTTGGGGAAGCAGTTAGCCGGATTATTTCTGGTATTGCCCCCACCAGCAAAGACGAGGACAAAGCAGATGAAGAAGCGTCAGGAGGTGGTGGCCTAGAGAGGCTCGAGATGGCGCGCATCAAAATGGAGGCCGCACTCCAAACGTGCAACAAATGGCATATCACCGACACGTCGCTCCTCCGTTGGCAAAAGAAGCTCAAGCGCACTGCCCAGGACTGTGACGACGTAGCGCGCAGATGCAGGCAACTTTCTCGGGAAGAAGAAGAGGAGGAGCAGGTTGTAAGGAAATCCTCATTTCCTAGACGGATGGCTCATGCGACCAAGGTGTTCATCTCCTCTTTCGTTGGCCGCGACAATGATCATCGCTCTGCGGGGAGTGCCACCGCCGCTATTGTTCGAAGATTCGAGAGGCTTGCGGACGGTGCTGATGAATTTATCAGATATGTTCAGCTCGGCGGGACACCACGTCAGAACCTGTTCTTCAACCCTCCCATTGGGCATATCTTCACAGGCAAAATGATTGTGTATCAGTTGTTGCGTCCTGGAGGTCAGTACCATTACTTCCGTATACGGCCAATCAATTTCCAGGAGCGTGGGCTGGAGGCCTTTCTATCCTTCATGTACCAAGATTCTAAGGTGCCCAAGAACAGTTTTTGTCTTGGGGTCACGCTGCGTCTGTCTGAGAGTACAGACATAATCGGAACCATAGTCAAGTGCTTGCGAGTTATGACGCCTCACTTCAACTCTACGACCGACCTTGTTATCAAGGAGATCACCCATCTCCCTACGCAAGATTTCTCCTATGTTGCACACAAGAATCACTGGGTCCACGTCCACAGAACTTTGTCTGAATGGTTCCGTCCAGATCCATTATGTTGTCAAGGATTCGAGCATGACGTTGTGCCTTCTTGCCATAGTGGCAGCGACATCAGTAATGGAAGCGGAAATAAATTGAAGTTTTCGAGCATATTTCCTGAACCAGTCTGCCAAGTGTTTTTCCAGTGTCACACCTCGCTATCCGATTACAAAAACCTGCCAGGATCAACTGTATTTGTTGGTCATGACGACAATTCATCTTTGGAGAATTCCCAACCATTGAAGCTTGGAATACTACTCATGCCTCATGCTTCTTTGGAGGACCCTAAGTCTGTTGGTTCCACAATAGAAGTGATCGATACAGAGAATCGACACCACCTCACACATGTAAATGTTCATCTGGACCAACTCGACGAGATGATGATGCCTAAGGCGATAGACTATCTTCATCTTAATGCCGAGGCTATGTCGTACCAGGTATGCTGGAGGTCTAACCATGGAAGTGCTCACCTATGCGTGGAGAAGACAAGTGCGGAAATAAAGCTCGGAGCATGCAGAGCCACAAGACAAGGTAGGAACGTAAAGACTGCTAAGGGGCTTCCTCTGGTGCAGCAGGATCAGCGGATGCAAATGCTGAAGCAGGTAGCTCATGCATTCCTAAAACTATGGGCTGTGCGATCCTCCGAGAGGTTGCATAGCTCGTTTACTACGTGGCTCAATCAGTTAGGACAAAAGTAGTGATAAGTGGTATAATTTCATACGCCCTCCTTTTTGGTATAGAGGATCACATGTATGTAAGATATTATGGAAGCGTGAACCCTTCGTCTGGGCCGCATTGTATTATATAGAAGGTTTGCCGTGGCGTACAAGAGAGAGATCGATCGTAGATAGATCGATCACAATTACAGGAGAGTTCAGACAGAAGAAAAGATAGAAGTCAGAGTACAAGTTTAAACTAGTGTCCCTATCCTATACAACTTGTCTAACACTCCCCCTCAATCTAAACCCTATGAAAGTTTACCAAGGTTGAGATTGTATTTGAACTCATCCAACCTTCTCACCGTGAGAGGTTTTGTGAAGCCATCAACAAGTTGATCACCTGTTGGAATAAACCTTATATCAAGCAACTTGCGTGCTACTCTTTCTCTGACAAAATGAAAATCAACCTCAATATGCTTTGTACGTGCATGGAAAACAGGATTAGCTGAAAGATAGGTTGCACCAATGTTGTCACACCACAATCTTGCAGCTTGTGGAACTTTAATTCCAAGTTCATGACGCAATGTCTGAATCCACATCACTTCAGCTGTAGCATTAGCTAAAGCCTTATACTCTGCCTCAGTACTTGACCTTGAGACTGTAGTCTGTTTTCTTGCACTCCATGACACAAGATTTGTTCCTAGAAACACAACAAAGCCACCTGTGGACCTCCTATCATCAACACAAGATTTGGAGTTGGCAGACTCACTAAAGAAAGCACTGTCCAAGCTTTCGGAAATGTATGAAGAGGAGAAAGGGGGTAGAGTTACGGATAATATTGTTAATACTGAAAGAAAATTTCAAGATTACTAGAGATAAAGGAAGCTTCGTTTCTGGAGGTAGTGTTTCCATTAAGGTCAATGATGACGTTGGGCACTATTTCCAAACGAAGAAGAGATTGCGACAAGGTGACTCGGTATCGACCGTGCTATTCAATATAGTGGCGGTCATGATTGAGTGTGCCAAGGTTGATGGCCAAATTGATGGGGTAGTAAATCATCTAGTTGATGGTGGTCTCTATATACTTCAATATGCCGATGATACGATTCTCTTCATGGATCATGACCTCAAGAAAGCGAGAAATCTGAAACTGATTTTATCAGCATTCGAGCAACTCTCGGGGCCTTAAGATCAATTTTCATGAAAGTGGATTGTTTTGCTTTGGCGAGGCTCAAGACGAGGCCCACCTGTATGCTGAACTGTTTGGATGCGGATATAATCAGTTTCCGATCATATATTTGGGGATACCGATACATTATCGAAGACTCACAAATGTTGAATGGAAACACGTCAAGGAGAGACTGCAAAAAAGACTTAGCAATTGAAAAGGTAAACTGCTGTATCTAGGTGGAAGATTGGTCCTCATAAATTTAGTAATTAGTAATATGATACTATATATGATTTCCTTCTTCCAGTTACCGAAAGGAGTTTTACATAGATTGGATTACTTTCGATCAAGATTCTTTTGGCAAGGAGACAGCGAAAGAAAGAAATATCGACTGGCTAAATGGAGTGTGGTTTGCCGTCCCAAAGACCAAGGCGGGTTGGACATTCATGACCTTGAGCTTAAGAATAGGGCCTTCCTCGGCAAATGGTTGTTTAAATTACTAACGGAAGATGGTGTATGGCAAACCCTCCTAAGGAGGAAATATGTGGTTCCAAGGCGGTATCCCAAGTATATTGGAATCCTGGGGATTCCCACTTTTGGGCGGGTCTAATGGCTATGAAGAAATATTTCTTCTGCTATGGATCCTTCTCGATTAAGGACGGCTCGGACTTAGATTCTAGGAGGAAAAGTGGCTATGAAATGCCACACTTCGGGAACAATATCTGGCTCTATACAACATTGTGAGCCACAAAGGTGATACTATCGCCACGGTAATGGAATCATTTCCGCCAAATGTGACGTTCAAAAGAGACTTAATTGGACCCAGACTCCAATCGTGGAACATCCTGCTCCAACGGTTGTCCACAGTGTAATTGTCACATGGGTCTGATGTATTCCGATGAAACCTTCATGAGAATGGACAATTCTCAGTGGATTCTATATATGGAGCGTTAATTCAGTCTGATGTGCCGGTTGTTAATAACAAGAAGATCTGGAAGATGAAGATATCTCTTAAGAATAAAATCTTTTCATTGTGTCTTTGTCATGGAGTCATCCTTACTAAAGATAAACTTATTAGGAGGAATTGGCATGGAAGTTCGTAATGTATCTTTTGTCACCATGAGGAAAAAATAAAACATTTATTCTTTCAATGCAAATTGGCTCATTATATATGGTTAGTCATCCAAACAAGTAAGTCAAGCATCAGCCGGCCTTAGGAAGGC